CAGCTAAACTGAACACATGGTTGACACAACAATGTCAGCTAAACTGAACACATGGTTTGACACAACAATGTCAGTTAAACTGAACACATGGTTTGACAACAATGTCAGCTAAACTGAACACATGGTTTGACACAACAATGTCAGCTAAACTGAACACATGGTTTGACACAACAATGTTGGCTAAACTGAACACATGGTTTGACAACAATGTCAGCTGAACTGAACACATGGTTTCACACAACAATGTTAGCTAAACTGACACATGGTTTAACACAACAATGTTGGCTGAACTGAGCACATGGTTTCACACAATAATGTTGGCTGAACTGAGCACATGGTTTCACACAACAATGTTGGCTAAACTGAATACATGGTTTGACACAACAATGTTAGCCAAACTGAACACATGGTTTGACAACAATGTCAGCTGAACTGAACACATGGTTTGACACAACAATGTCAGCTAAACTGAACACATGGTTTGACACAACAATGTTGGCTAAACTGAACTCATGGTTTGACACAACAATGTGGGCTGAACTGATCACATGGTTTCACACAACAATGTCGGCTGAACTGATCACATGGTTTCACACAACAATGTTGGCTAAACTGAACACATGGTTTGACACAACAATGTTGGCCAAACTGAACACATGGTTTGACAACAATGTCAGCTGAACTGAACACATGGTTTGACAACAATGTCAGCTGAACTGAACACATGGTTTGACACAACAATGTCAGCTAAACTGAACACATGGTTAGACACAACAATGTCAGCTAAACTGAACACATGGTTAGACACAACAATGTCAGCTAAACTGAGCACATGGTTTGACACAACAATGTCAGCTAAACTGAACACATGGTTTGACACAACAATGTCAGCTAAACTGAACACATGGTTTGACACAACAATGTCAGCTAAACTGAACACATGGTTTGACAACAATGTCAGCTAAACTGAACACATGGTTTGACACAACAATGTCAGCTAAACTGAACACATGGTTTGACACAACAATGTTGGCTAAACTGAACACATGGTTTGACAACAATGTCAGCTGAACTGAACACATGGTTTACACAACAATGTTAGGCTAAACTGACACATGGTTTAACACAACAATGTTGGCTGAACTGACACATGGTTTCACACAATAATGTTGGCTGAACTGAGCACATGGTTTCACACAACAATGTTGGATGAACTGAACACATGGTTTCACACAACATTAATGTTGGCTGAACTGA